TTTTAGATTGGTAAAAATCTTCCATTGTAAGGAAAGCTACAATGAGTGATCTTTGGACATGAAAAGTATTTAGTTTATTTCCTTTGGATGGATTACCAGAAGTCAAATTACTGGGTCAAAAGAATATGAACGTTTCTCAAGTTCTTGAAACTTTCTGACAGATTGTATTCTGACAGAATTGTAATTTAAGAATGATTAAGGCTGCTTGGGGAATTTCTACCTGCTTCCCCTCTTTCATTCATAGGTTACTGTGGCAGGTACCACATGAAATAATTATTTGAGGGGTGTAATCGATTTGAAGTAGGTAGGCATAGCAGAGTAGGTAGGGTTCCTTTAACTTTTTGTTAGAAAACCAAAATTGAAGGAGAACAACCCTTGTTTTGACATAAGGCAAGCTTTAATGTTTTTTCATCTTAACTTTTAAAAAACCAGAATAAATGTTGTAAGAAGCTCAACAGTTTATTTAAAATACAGTGTCAGATATTAGACTAGTAGTCTGTTTTTTTAAATAAAAGCTAATATAGAGAGCTTTTCCTCTTACATAGTATTGTGGTTTAGAGTGAAGTGAACAGCTGTTATGCTGCATGTAGAAGGCAGGATATAAATTATTATTTTCATAATTTGAAAAAGTATTGGCCGGGCGCGGTGGCTCAAGCCTGTAATCCCAGCACTTTGGGAGGCCGAGATGGGTGGATCACGAGGTCAGGAGATCGAGACTATCCTGGCTAACATGGTGAAACCCCGTCTCTACTAAAAATACAAAAAACTAGCTGGGCGTGGTGGCGGGCGCCTGTAGTCCCAGCTACTTGGGAGGCTGAAGCAGGAGAATGGCGTGAACCCGGGAGGCGGAGCTTGCAGTGAGCCGAGATTGCGCCACTGCACTCCAGCCTGGGAGACACAGCGAGACTCCGTCTCAAAAAAAAAAAAAAAAAAAAAAAAAAGAAAAAGAAAAAGTATCTTAGAATAACAGTGGTTTGCTGAATAGATTGTAAATTAGGCACAGCTTTAGTCTTCACAATTCTAATAAAAGCTAATGTTAAAAATAAAATTTAATAGATGCTTTAAAAATCAACTGCTAGGATATTAGTTGTGTCAAGCAAGTACATGCATTTAGCAAACAGTTATTAAACATCTAGGCTAGTAACTTTGTTAGACATCAGTGATTAGCATTTTTTATTGGAAAGATATGATGTAACATGAAAGAGGGAGAAATTAAATTCTTGGAGTTTTCTGAAAAAAGCAAGTTGACATTTGAACAAAGTGTTGAAGAATATGTAAGATGCCAAGTTGGAGGAGGCAGTTACTGGGGTAAATAAATACAGTGGAAGGGTGATAATCACAAGAAACTGTAGAAATGCAGGAAGGTTTATGATATTATTGCTGATACTTAGGTTGCATGTTAGGAAATGAGGGCAAGATCTAAAAGACCTGTATGATGAATGTTATTATGAAGGCTTTGCCACCATGAAATATGCCGTGAATTAATCTATTAGATTATTGTGGTGGGATGGTGGCTCTCTTTACTAGAATCACGAATAAAGTAAGATAGTGATTGGGTTACTTTATTCGGGACTTGAAGATAAAGTCCCGAATAAAGTAATTATGATTATATTTTATAATTATATTTTATGATTATATTTTATATTTTATAATATAAAGTAATTATGATTATGATTTTATAATTTAAGACTCTGAAAGGAATACTTTCTTGCCAGTGTTGGGAAGAATAACAAGAAAGAAATTGGGGATGTAATAGTTTTTTTAAAATCTTAATGTAGAAGAGAAGGACACAGTGGGTAGATTTTGGGGTTATATAAGAATAGTGTCAAGATTCTAAAACTAAAAATGAACTGAGAATTAGGAAAAATTGTTCGAACAAATAATAACCTTGCCTTTTCCCCAAAAGTTTGAAATGTACATGAAGCAACAAGGAGGACAGTAGGAGCATTATTGAGTGTATGGGAGGTTGCAGTGATCATTGAAGAAACAAAGAATATATATTTGGTTTTTGTCTTCAATGGCAAGGAAAATTATGTTCAAACTATCGTATATAAAGTAAACATTGCTAAGAGGGACTTGAAATCAAACCAAAAAAACAGGAAATGAGCAGATAAGTGTGCTAAATAGATATATTTCCTAGTGTTTTATTTCATGCAGTAGTATTGAGAATACTGTGAAATGAAATCACTAGCAAAAAAAAAATGTAAGAAATGGGAGTGGCAGAAAAATGGACACAAGCAAATACAGGCCTTTTGAACCAAATGCTAGAGGATTAGAAGTTTTCCTATTTCTAGTATATAATGAGCAGTTTTTGAAATCAACTTTATTTTTACATCTCTGGAACATATTAAAATATTACTGAATTTCACCTGTTTTACATGGACCTGGTATACTAAGGTGAGCATATAGTTTGCATACATTGACCACTAGATGGTGCTCATACAGAAGGGATTTTGTGTATGCGACATTCAGGGTTTTTCTAGATAAATAACAAATCTATGTTCTTGTCAATCTTCTCAGTCTTGTGTTATCTCAATACAGTTCTATGTTTTGAAATTTAATAGCCCACATTAGAAAAGAGTAATAAAAATGCCTATTATATTGCATTTACATTACATTAGCTTTGTAGTTACCTTGTATTTTTTCTTTTCTTTTTCTTTCTTTCTTTTTTTTTTTTTGTACTTTAGAGTTTCAGTATTGCTTGTCCCCTTGTCCTTTACCTTTTTACATTTTTCACTAAGATTATTTAGTAAACTGGACATGGTGGTAACCCCAGCTACGTGGGTAGCTGAGGCAGGAGAATGGCTTGAGCCTGGGCAACATAGTGAGACTCTGTCTCAAAAAGAAACATAAAAGATTATTTAGTACTTGCCTTTGTTTCTGTAACTAAAGACTGCTGGGTTTGTGACTTTAGAAACACACACAAATAACCGAGAGCCTATCCAGTACACATTTTTAACTGTTTTTACTTTCATTTAATATTAAAAAGTAAATATTCCTCATAGTCATAAATTTTTCATAATCACGTTTTGAAATACATAGTAATCCACTGAACTAATCATATTTAGTTTACTAAATTAAGGTTTCTCCTATTGTTTAGGCTAGAATTCTACTATAGATTATGTTATCACTCTGAAAGAAAAAACATTACAGAAAAAAGAATATTAATTCTTTGTATGTCATATTAAAATGTTAATAGTGGTTCCTTTTGGTAGTTTAGATTGCATACCATCTTTTAATCCATTGTTTTAAATAGGTTTTCCTGGTTTTTCTTTAATGAACTTAAATTTGGTTTTAATGGAGTTTTATCTTTCATCTCTGCTGTGTAATGAGAGAAGAGGATATTCTAAAGCAAAGAACAGTTGGTTGCCTTCCATCTCCCAGTCTAATCTTATGTGAAACCCCTCTTGTGATTTAGGTGTAGATTTTATGTGTGCATATACTGACTGCTGGCCAATGAATGAGGTGTTCCTAGCTTTTTGTAGGTCATGTAACAGGACATTTTCATAAAGAAGCCTTTCTCAAAACTTGAAGTTTTTTTCTTGATGTCAATGGATTTGGATAGGAAATTCACATTGAGAAGTATTTCTTCCCTGTACATTGGGGAAATATGGGGCGCAGTGATCTGTCAACTTTAGATTGTACCCCTAAGTTCTTTGGCTCTGTAGGCTAAATACATGTACACTAAAAGCCTACTATTGTCTGTCTGTTAGTACTGTTTACAGTTTGAGGTAGGAGATTTGCATTCAACAGTTGTATTCCTGATCTTCATCCATACTAATTCAGAATAACAGAACTCATGTCAGTTCTTGGGTTTTCTCCTCCCCTTTTCTTAAGGTGTTCATCAGACATGGATCAAGGCACTTATTTTAGGGCCAAATTACTGTAGCATTTGTATAAACCACACTAGTCAGGTATTTAGTAGGTACCTGGTCCATAATAAAACTTGAATTTTTTTCCAGGAGGTTTCATTTTTTCCTTCACAAGAGTATTATTAGTTACCTATCCGCCCTTAGTGTTTTCTTATATTCTCCTACTCCGAATTAGATAGGCTCACTCTGTCTGGGGCCGCAAGTTGTCAGCTACTGCCTGCACAGTCCTTGGGAAGAAGCAGCATACTTTCTGGTGTAATCTGTCACAAAACGTCTTATCCTCAAGAGTCCCACGTGGCTCTCAACCCTTACTCAGTACACGTTCGCATCTCAGCAGAGGTGTCACAGACACAGCACTAGCGTATTTTCTTGCTGAGTCAGGATTTGCAGTGGACCTCAAGGTTGTAGCGTATTTTCTTGCTGAGTCAGGATTTGCAGTGGACCTCAAGGTTGTCATTTGACAAAAGGCTGCATCTAGTTGGTGCTGGTAAGCACATAGACAAGCAAGATTTTGTCAGTCCACATCTGAAAAAATTCCGTGGCTGAGGTTGGGACTTATGACATGCTCTTATTAACTTAAAAATTGAATTATTCAACCAATAGTAAATTATTAAGTAGCGTTTTTGTTCACATATTGTTTTAAAATGACCATTGTTGTAATATTTACTAATATAGCACAGTGTTAAGAGAGTGGGAGTTTGTGATTCTCAAACTTGAAGGTACTTAGGAGTCACTTGGGAAGCATTTGAAACATAAAAATTCCCAGGTTCCCCCTGCCCCTAATGTTTTGATGGAGAGAGGATACACCAATCTGCATATGTAACTAACACCCCAGGCAATTCTCTGGCGAACTATTATGTTAACGTAGATGTTAGATGTTCCTTTAGCAATCAAGTAATAGTATTTGGTGAACCAGAGTAGTATTTATGTAGAGTTGGATACAACACATTTCACTGATTATAAAACAAAAAATTTACCAGCGTTCTTTTTCATTTTTAGAAATTTATGACCTTGTAATCTGAATGTTTATAAAATACTAGAGAGATGATTCTGATAATTTCTTGAAAGTTCTTTTTTATCATAAAAGTTCCAGAAGCAAAATATTTGTTTTAGTAATTAATCTACTTTGAGACTCAGTTATTAATCATTAAAAGCCAATACATTACATAAAATGATAAAGGAAAATCCATTTGTAATGAAGCGCTATCATTAGATATTCAGAGTTTAACGTAGGCAGCACCTTTGAACAACTTAGAGCCAGTGCCAGATGATGTGTAAGATCCTGCCTGGTGTAGAAATTTGGATATGAATGACAAAGATTCTTTTAGTGAAATCATCTAAACAGTCAGAACTATTTGCAGAGAGAATCCTCTTGTATGTTTTAATTCAGTTCATATTTATAATTTATATAAGTAGTGAAGGTGCCATTGGGTTTTACTACAGACTGTGGTTGAAACTTGGTAATCCAGGGTTTTTCCACCCAGTGCTTTAAATCAGGCAGCCCCACAAGGTCTTGGTAGTCCAGTGTTTATAGCATCCTTCTTTACCTGCTAATCGACCTCACTTCCTGGATTTCAGTCCATCTAGTTATCAGCTAACAAAAGAACAGCTTTTGGTTCCTGCAGACGCTGGTGAAAAAATAATCATGAGAAAGAAATCCACCTTATGTCGTCTTTTTTGTCTGCAAAAATAAACTCAGCCATCATACAGCTAACAGGTACAGAGGGAAGATACGAGCTCTTTCATAGGAAGAAATCGCTGAGAAAATGAGCATCATTTCTCAAGGTTTTTATTTTCACTGATCTACAAGTGATGCTGCTGTAATTCTAGCTGCAGTTTTTACCGATCATTCACCACTCAGCAGCTGGTAGAGAAGTAAGCCTGCTTGGCAACCACCTGCAGGGCTGCAGAGATGAATTACATTTTCGGAAACAACACACTTCTATACTCTCGCGGCAGTCGAGGAGGCAATACTAGCTCTAGCCATGGCTCAGCAGGCCCAAAGCAGAAACACTGGGCAAAAAAGGGCTCGTCAGATGAACTGCAGGCTGAGCCAGAACCTTCACGCTGGCAGCAGATAGTTGCATTTTTCACTCGAAGACACAGCTTTATTGACTGCATCTCGGTAGCCACCAGCTCCACCCAGGTAACATACCACTTGTTGAAATTATTTTCAATCTATTTCTGTTTACATTTGCTTTGTAAAAATGTCTTAATATAGAGTTTTTATTTAAAAAATAGTCTTATGGCTTGAAACCTTGTATGTGTAGAAATGTATGTTTTCTGTCCATCCATGCAGGTCTTTAGCACAAAAGGGGGAGCAAGAAATATTTTTCCTTATGTTCTTATGTAATACCAAAAACAAAATAGCCTCAGATTCAATTGAATGACTTTTCTAAAAATATAAACCCATTGATACATAAATTAAAATACGAATTAATAATGCTCATCTCCTTTTTAGACTGTGCTAAATGCTATAGAGTATGATGTCTGACCAAAGAAAATGCTGGGTTGTGTAGTTTTTGTATGTTATTAGATAACCTTAGGGAGACTATTATAGTAAAGAAACAGAAGATACTTTGAAATATTTTCATTTTTCAGTGTTTTGAAAATAGATTCAATTTAATAATTGGCTAGTATTATATATACTTACATCTTAGCTATATTATGGCTTATTCAAGGAATTTAATGAATCCTGTTTTGTAAATATTATTTATCTAGCTTAATTTGAAATTAGTGAACTTGTGCAATTACACAGTCATGGAATATTTTTTCACATATTAAAATCACAATTTAAAGAGTTGAGCAAATACTAAAAGTCTCAAAATTTTTAAAAAATCACGTAACACCACTTTTTGAGGAAATGAACTATTGTCTATAGGAGGAAAAATAAAGAAAAATTAATAATTGTTTGAATGAAATACCTATTGTTTGGTACAGGGGTGGTTTGGGGAAATATTCATATTTCTAAATATTTTTAAGCAGTCAGTTCAACTTTAGTAAAAATAAAAGGATGATAAATTGTCTAATTTAAAAATAAGTTGAGAATGCATTTGTCCTCTGACATCAGTGATATTTAAATTAAGAAAATACATACATACACATTCCTTAGGACCTTTTAAAATAAATTCCCTTAAAGCTATCTTTTAAAGAAAATAATAGAAGCAGCACAATAAATATAAGCTATAACTGTCAACAGTTCTATATTTCTTTATATATTTTTTATAAATTTCTTTACTGTTTTTGGTTACTAGAATAATTGTCTTTTAAAAGTGTGGATTTAAAATAACATCAGCTTTCTTAAGTAAGAAATTCTGCTTATTTTTCTTAAATATTTGGGAGAAATAGAATTACCTAGGAAGGGGGAGTCACTACGTAGGCATTGAGGTTAAGTTACAATCAAAACTTATTGAATGGGCAACCATTGATTGAACTCTTAAATTGAATACTGCCCCATGAATTTTACTAACCTTATTTTGACTACAATTATATATATCACAAAAGGATGCAAAGACTAAAGGTTGACAGTGTTACTCATTGTAGATAATACTACGTGGTATTTTCCATTGTCAACAAAAAAGATATCTTTAAAACTTTTTATATATATATGGTTTATGTAAATACACACCCTTCTATATATGTATACACAGATAACACTAGCATTGATATATTTGTCACTCAGTTTATTAAAAGCATGCAAATGAAAAGACAGGAAAAGTAGTTCATGTATAAGCTGTTGAAACCACAGAATTACATTATAGTTACTTGGGAGTTGGAGCAAAACGTTGCTATCATTGCGCTAAAATAGTGATGACCTCTATTTGCTGATCAATTCTACAAAGCCATTTTAAATGTTATCCCCTTACCCACTTTGGTTCAGAGTATTCCTGCATGCTAATATGTGAGTTATTAATAGTTTTTATTTCTTTCAGACCTCTTTCCTGATTCTCATCCTGTCTTTTTCATTACCTTTCTATTTTATTTCTAGAAATACAGGTATTAGGGTAGAGGTTTTAGCTTCTGTTTTTCTTGCACTGGAGTACCCACATTTTGTTTTTCATTTTATACATTTTTATAACTGATACATTGGATAGTTTATATACCTAATTTTTTTAATAACTTACTGGAGTTCATTTTACAAGTTAAAATATAATAGGACTGAAAAATAAGTTTAGGTATAATTCGATCTTAGTTGATGCTAGAATATTTTTTAAAATTTCACTTACTGACTCCTGGCTGGCAGCTTTCTCTTGCAGCACCAAGGGATTTATTGTTAGAAACAACGTAGATTGAAATTTCATACTTTGAGCATATAATATATACCTTTGAATATAATAGGGTGATTTGTACTGTGATTGGTAAATAACAGAGGTCTCTTATTTCACTGGTGTCAAAAATACTCTTTAAGATTTGATAGAAAGATTACCTTTGAATCTAATTCCTTATGACTAAGCCACATGATACTTTTTGCAGATTGGAGAGTTGTTGTAAGTCAAGTTCTATTAGTATGAAAATTATCTGGTTTAGTATCCCCCCAAATATAGTATAAAAATTATCTGGTTTAATATCCCCCTAAATATACCACAGTACATAAAAAGAAACCGTACTTTATAGATTCATTTAAATTGCTTGTCTGCTGGAGGTATTCATGTTCATAACTAAGATTGTGTGCCATGTTCTACTATGGTACCTGGAACTCAGTAGGAAGTCATTAATGTTTTTTGAATGATAAGGAAGTTGAGTGGTTATAAACTTTTGCAAGACACCTAGCTCCTCAGGGTTTGGCATGTAGTTGGTGTTAATAAATGCTTATAGAATTAATTAATTTTTATTCCATTCACCTCAAATGTTATCTCCTGGCCTTCCAAAACATGACAACCTAATCTGATACCTCTTGAGTACCTGTATTGGTTGGATCTTCTCTCTTCCTTCACAAGTGTCTTTGGTTTTTCCCAGCAGCCCATCTCCTTTTCCACAGCCCTTTCTTCCCCTCCATTCTTCATATTATCCTCCAGTCACACTTCCCGGATGCCCCTGATTTCCTCACCCCTTTCAGTCCCCACTCAGTAGTGATAACCAAATAGCTTACAGACTGCCTCTAAGTTTTATCATTTGATTGTATCTCATTTTACATTGTGAGTTTTTTGAGGGGTTATTTTGTTTTTTAATGTTAAATTAAAATGAGTTTCTTATGAATTACATTGGTGAAAACTTTTTCTGTTTGAGGCTTCATAGTGTTTTTGTCCTTAATTTCAAACCACTTAATATAGAAAAAGTTCTCTGTGCGTTGCCAAGCCCTCCTTGGTTCCTCACCCTCAGCATCCCTCCTATTCTTGTGTGTAGGGTCACTTAATAATCGGCCCCATCCTACTTAGCATACGCAGTCCTGTTCCAATCTGGGACCAGTTTTTATATTCAGCAGGGTTTTAAAGAACGCCAGCGCAGTGCTTCTAGACTTTACTTGATTAACACCTAGGTGAAAAGTTTTATTTACTTAGTGATATCAACATTTATTAATGACAGTAGTAATCTTATGAACTTTAGCTGTGAAGTGTTCGGTCATTTTGAATGTGTGTATAGCAACTATTCATACATTTTGGACTACTTGAAAATCTCAACATATAAGATCATTATACATATTCAGAAAGCTCCCCCACCCCTCAAAAAAAGCAATTAAAATGCCAAATTAAGCTAAGAGCAGCAGAGCTCTATTCTTAGAAACATGGAACAGACATAACTTGTCAGAATTGAAATAGAATAGTAAAATTTTCTTAAAGAGTAAATATTAGCTGAGTTGAATAATCTGCTTAGAGGAAAAACCCTGTCCTAAGTTAAAAATACAGGAAAACATTGTTCAAGTACCTGTGTGGAAAAATATTTAGGCTAATTTGTATACTTAAAAAATATTGTTTGTCCTAAACAGGTGCCTTCTGAGTTAAAGAGGATTTAATTTTTAGAGCTATGCATTGGATATATTGTCCAGGAGATAATAATAACAGTATCAGTGTCATTGAGTCACTTCTACCAAATCATTTAATGTATAAATTAATAGAGTACTTAGAACAGCATCTGGCACATAGTAAGTGCTACATTAGAGTTAGGTGCACCTGTTATTTTTGTATCATTTAACTCTAATTGTATATGAACAAATTCAGACATAGATTATTAGAAATTATAGCACCTCGGATAGTGCAAGTACATTCAAACATTCAGTAACTATTGTTGACTGATGAAGTTAACTTGTAAGTACAAGCCATCCACTTTTTTTTAAGAACCAGAGGTCTCAACACCTTTAGTTACAGGGTTTAAGGGAGGTGCCCCAAAGAACCTTTCAAATTCTTGATGAGACTACCAGGTTTTTGACCTTTCCTCCCCTCCTAGCACTCCCTTCTACAAATTGGTAAAAACCAGTCACATGTAGATGACTAAATTTAAGTGATTATCCACTTCTTACCAAGCTCCCCTAAACATCCCCGAAACATATCATTAGGACTATTTTTAGATCCTACATCCCTTTTAGCCTCAGTCACTACAAAAAGTCCAAACCATCCAGATTGCAGCTCTGCCTTCTCTATACCAACTCACAGACTGCACATGAAACTTCTAATACCTAATTCCTGCTCTTATTCTCAAATAAATAATGTTGCTCTGTGTTCCAGCCTGTTAAAATGAATGAACTGTCTGTGTGCTTGAAACTCACCCATTCACTTCGGTACTAGATCTTAGTTCCTTTGGTTGTTCAAGAACTTCCAAAATCCCCTTCTCTCTTCACTGCATCATCTATCTTGCTTCTATACTGCCCCTAGACTTGCCTCTGTAAGTCCCATCAGGATATACCCCTGCTATAATATCTTTCATTAAAACAGCCAGCCAAAAAACCCTCTTTGTATGAGTGTAGATTATCAAATCCAATGGCCAGTTCTCAGTGTTCGTTTTACTTGACCCTACAACACTGTTAACACAATTGATTACTCCCTCTTCTAAATTCTTTTTTTCTCCTTTGACTTGTGGATAGTACTGCTCTTTTAATATTCTGCCGGCCTCATTTTCTTTTATAGTATCCTCCTTTTTCCTGCTGCTAACTGTTCAGATGTCTCAGGGCTCTGTCTTTGAACTCTCTTTTTATACTCACATTTCAGGTGATCT